TATAATGATTTGTTAAATATCTCGAAAAACTAAACTAAACAATGTTTAAAATCTGATTAATTAAAGGACAAAATAAATAATACCTTTAACGGGCACAAAGCGCACTTGCTTGCGTTCGGTCGATCAAAATTAAAGTACATATCCGTTCTCTCTTGAGTTAGTCCAAGAGCTAGTAATACAAATTTCATTAAGTGTTTGATGCACTTTGAAATTTTGTAATTTGAAATCATTTGGATGGAAAAGCAGACATACCTGTATTGCCAAGTCCCACTCAGGGACACCAGGTACTGCGCATAATAGAAAGGGGTCGTAAAATATGACCCAAAAAAGTGTTTGATTCAGAGGCCAACAAACAACAATTGAAAGTTTCGGTAATTCTAAAAATACTAGTAATTTAGGCAGACACTTTTGAGAGGGTCTATAATTAATAAATCAACCTCAAAGTTGATTTTTTTTAAATATGATTTGAAGTGTTTGATTCACGCTGAAATTTTAATAGCGTCTTAATTAAATATAAAAAAATTAATTTAAAAAAAAAGACACTTTTTCCAGGGTTTTAATTGCCGGCTAACATAAAAATAAGTCTTATTTACTATAGAAAGAGAAAGGCTGCGTATGGCTGTAGGTGTGAGTGAGAGCGCTGATCATCGCCCTTACTACTGTATTTCTACAGCTGTATCGGCCGTTTATCTCAATAGAGGACTTCTATATAAGGGAAGTGCAACCAACTGGTGTCCCGGAGTGGGTCTGGGCCAACACAGGTATATCTGCTTTCCATCCGAATGATTTCAAATTACAAAATTTAAAAGTGCATTAAACACTTAATGAAATTTGTGTTACTAACTCTCCCACTAAGTGAATCTACGAGCATTTTCATCATGTGTCCGGACATATTGTTAAAAACCCGGACAGTATCAGTTGAAAACCGGACAGTATCAGGTTAAAACCTACCGTACAGGTGGCATCCCTACCACTTTGTCATCTTCTTTTTTATGTAAGACGACAACAATTGTTTAAGTTTTATGAAAAAAAGATTTTTCTGTATTAAAAGTTCTGCATGGTCTAAAACTAAAAAGTACTCTATCTGATATATCGAATTCTTTTCAGTCGTGTAGGAGGTTTGTCGAAAAATATAAATCTAATGTAGGAATAAAGTATCCTTATTTAAAAAAAATATAATGAGGAGGAGGAGGAGGAGGAGGAGGAGGAGGAGGAGGAGGAGGAGGAGGAGGAGGAGGAGGAGGAGGAGGAGGAGGAGGAGGAGGAGGAGGAGGAGGAGGAGGAGGAGGAGGAGGAGGAGGAGGAGGAGGAGGAGGAGGAGGAGGAGGAGGAGGAGGAGGAGGAGGAGGAGGAGGAGGAGGAGGAGGAGGAGGAGGAGGAGGAGGAGGAGGAGGAGGAGGAGGAGGAGGAGGAGGAGGAGGAGGAGGAGGAGGAGGAGGAGGAGGAGGAGGAGGAGGAGGAGGAGGAGGAGGAGGAGGAGGAGGAGGAGGAGGAGGAGGAGGAGGAGGAGGAGGAGGAGGAGGAGGAGGAGGAGGAGGAGGAGGAGGAGGAGGAGGAGGAGGAGGAGGAGGAGGAGGAGGAGGAGGAGGAGGAGGAGGAGGAGGAGGAGGAGGAGGAGGAGGAGGAGGAGGAGGAGGAGGAGGAGGAGGAGGAGGAGGAGGAGGAGGAGGAGGAGGAGGAGGAGGAGGAGGAGGAGGAGGAGGAGGAGGAGGAGGAGGAGGAGGAGGAGGAGGAGGAGGAGGAGGAGGAGGAGGAGGAGGAGGAGGAGGAGGAGGAGGAGGAGGAGGAGGAGGAGGAGGAGGAGGAGGAGGAGGAGGAGGAGGAGGAGGAGGAGGAGGAGGAGGAGGAGGAGGAGGAGGAGGAGGAGGAGGAGGAGGAGGAGGAGGAGGAGGAGGAGGAGGAGGAGGAGGAGGAGGAGGAGGAGGAGGAGGAGGAGGAGGAGGAGGAGGAGGAGGAGGAGGAGGAGGAGGAGGAGGAGGAGGAGGAGGAGGAGGAGGAGGAGGAGGAGGAGGAGGAGGAGGAGGAGGAGAGGAGGAGGAGGAGGAGGAGGAGGAGGAGGAGGAGGAGGAGGAGGAGGAGGAGGAGAGGAGGAGGAGGAGGAGGAGGAGGAGGAGGAGGAGGAGGAGGAGGAGGAGGAGGAGGAGGAGGAGGAGGAGGAGGAGGAGGAGGAGGAGGAGGAGGAGGAGGAGGAGGAGGAGGAGGAGGAGGAGGAGGAGGAGGAGGAGGAGGAGGAGGAGGAGGAGGAGGAGGAGGAGGAGGAGGAGGAGGAGGAGGAGGAGGAGGAGGAGGAGGAGGAGGAGGAGGAGGAGGAGGAGGAGGAGGAGGAGGAGGAGGAGGAGGAGGAGGAGGAGGAGGAGGAGGAGGAGGAGGAGGAGGAGGAGGAGGCGGAGGAGGAGGAGGAGGAGGAGGAGGATAACCAAAAATTTGGTATGTGGATATCTCTCTCAACCCAACAAAGTTATTAAAAATATGTACCACCAATTAAAATTGGAAAATTATGGATCTAATTACGGTGTTATAGAAAGAATACACGTTTTGACAAAAATTCTAAACCTTCGATTAGAAAATTTATTACAACTTAGGAATTTTTCCAACGGTCTCTAGTAAGCTAGATCACTGCATGATGGAAAATATAAGAAGAAAAGTTTATAATTTTTATATAATATAATATAATAGTGTGCCATCTCTTCAAATGAATTAAATAAAATTAAGTTGATTCTCGGTTTCCCTTACAATCTGAGAAATCTACTAGAAAAGTGCTCCATTCTTTGAGTTTTAGATATCCTACTTTAAATAAAAGACAGCATCTTAAGGAATCTTAAAGAATTATGATTTTACGTAATGCACATCTTACTAAAAAACAGGAATCTCGTCGGCAAGATAGATTCATAGTGTATCTTGATGAGACTTGGTACGACACTCATGATATTGTGAAAAAAAGATGCGAGTGATCAATCTGCTAATTGTACTGTAAATGCTCCTCCAAATAGAGGAAGAGGTATTCTAATATTACATGCCAGTAATTAAAACGGTTTTGTGCCAAATTTCTTGCTATTATCAGCAAAGAATATTTTATGTTGTTCAGCAAATTATCACCAAGATATGACATCTACCTTGTTAGAGAAATGGTTTGGTGAACAATTAATTCCTAATTTGTTATCAAATGCTATATTAATAATAAATAATGCCCCTTACCACTCTCGCCAAACTAGTGAAATTCCAGAAGCAAAAGCTCGAAAAGAGGTAATTTCCGTGTTTTTGGACAGTATGGGTGTATCATATTCACCTACAGCTTTAAAAAAAGATTTACTTTCAATATTAAAAGGCTTGAATCTCAAACCTAGCTATGTTATGGATGAAATGGTTACGGCATTAGGTCATACCGTAATTCGCTTACCACCGTAACATCAAAAGGGAGGTCAGAAAAAAAGTTAATCTTTCGTTGTCTGAAAGAGTGAGAAGTTAGGAATTGTATTTCCGGCTCATTCTTGCATTATAAACCTGAATGACACGTCAACTGAAGATGATAGTTCTGATGAGATTTGATTTTCTATTTTGGTTATATTTTTACGTTATCAAACGTAACCACGTATCTGTTGGTTCACGTTATTTTGGAAGGGAACATGATATTGTTCCTGTTTTTCTTCTCTAGGAATGTAATTTTGTCGGGGTGGGAAGGCTTGCTTAGAAATTAAAGCTAGACTAATACATTCCAAAATTATTTAATTTTTTTTAAAATAAGTGGACACAAATAACAGTTGTTCAAGTATTTTTCAAAACATCCTAAATTGATTTTTATTATTCAATGCAGCATTTAAATACTTGAATTAAATCAAAAAAATAGTAGATGAAAATAATATAGTTTCATGGTGATTTTGATTACAAGTCACGAATATTTATTTCGGATTAATTTTGCCTTTTAAACTAAATTTAATAACATTTATTACATACTTAATCAAAGGTAGAAAATAATGCAAATAATGTAATACTTTTTAAATGCATATAACATTTCCACTTGAAATATATAATAATCTAAAATTAAAGTATAACATACAACTAATTAGATTCGTCCCTGGGCTTCGCTTATAGATGTCTATCTATGAATGCCTTTTTTGTTTCGAAGAGAAAGAATATCTTTACTTTCAACTATACAGCGATAATTTTAAAGCAAGCAAAACTATTGCTGATTGAAAAAAAGTTTTTTATGTTTTATTTTCCTACCTTCCAAGTCTCTTCGAATACTCTCGATGGCGATGTCCGTCGAGGAGGAAAGGACGAAAGAGATTTGCATGTGTGTGTTTCTGAGAAAAGCGTTGATATCGTCGTAAACGATATTCGCTGAGAGCGGAGCCCTCGATATCGATCTTGACATTTGCTCGTTGCTCGCTAAAATGAGAATGATGGCTGGACTGAAAACCAGTAAAAGAAAAGTGTTGAAAACTCTTAGAGAAGACTGACTGGCTATAGAGCTTGGCGCTTCCTATTCGGGACAACAAACTTTTATTGTTTCTTTACTGGCTGATTTATTGTTTTTGCATAAAACGTTCTCGAATTTAAATGTTCTAAGTTAAATTACGCAAAAATAAAAAATTGTCACTTAAAATGGGTACTTAACTAAGAAAATTCTAGTATAAGAAAAATACAGGAATTCCTTTGATGTAAAATACTAGCAGAATCCAACAAAAATGTTAAAATGCAATAAAACGATCAAAAATATTTCATGAAAAATATCTATAAAGGTTTCCCTAAAAAATGACTACGATTAAAAAATCCAAGAATTCATAAATAACTTGATTCATTCAAAATAAAGTTCATATTTTATAAATTTATTAAATTATCTAATTTAAAATAAAAAAGAAATTCTAAGTAAAACAAGAGATATGCAAGTAAAAAAAGGAATTTCAAGTAAAAAGAAGAATTTAAAAAAATGTATCGAAATCAAAGAAAAGATGTATAAGAATCATCGCAATCTTAAAAATTAATAATTATATACAAGGCGTGACAAAAAGTAATACAAATATTTTAGGGGAACTTGAAAGTTTTATATATATCATTTGATTTAACTGTAAAACAACAGAAAAAATTATTTTTAGAGGAGCAGTCTATGGGGATGGGTTGAGTATTCTTACCACTATTTTTTTTTTAATTTTTATCATTTCAGAAAAATTGTTTAAGAAAAACAAATTTCCATAGTTTTTTCTACAAAAAATATGTTCTTGTTTGACCCTTGAATGCCCAAGTGGGGTCCACGCGGACCCCAGTTTATTAATTTCCCTAATACTTCCGGAATAAAAAAAATTGGCAACAGCGCCTCTGAGTATGTGCTAGAAAACAGTTGCGTTAAAACGTGTTAGTTTGGCTTGATCCGCCGTGGTGATAGTGTCGATTATTAAAGTTATTAAGGTAGGTGGGGTCTCTCAGGGACCCCGGCTGGGCATTAAGGAGCAAGATATTTTTTATTAAAAATATATTTTTTTATAGATTTTGCTCAAAATGGCCAATATCAAAAGGCATTAACCATTATCGCAACGGGAGAATGAAGAATTGATCACGATACACATACTAACGGTGACTTTTTGATTTAAAATTCGTCGAAACCGCGCATGACGTAATGCGGGACGAACTTTCAAGTTATTTTGACACTTTTTGATTTAATAGTATAAAATAATTTAATAATTTATTTGTTTTTGTGTTAGAAGTGACTATATTGTCCTATATATAACGGGGAAGAACTAAATTAATGTTTAAAATGCCAAACTGCGCGGTGGAGATATTTCCGAATGCCACAAAATATGGATAAATTCTTATCGAAGAAAGGACAAACTTAATTGAAGTTGCCCTATCCACTTTGAGGAAAGTAGTTGTGAGATTCCTCTTAAACATAGACGCAAGAAAAGGAAACTGAATTCAACCAGGTGCACGGGCCTTATTAAGCAAAGAAAATAAATCGGTATTTAAAAATTTTAGCAGATAAAACAGTAGTTTCCTGTCCTAATACAACGGTCCTTTTGAAGTAATGCCATGCATGAGCAGGACAAGAACATAAGAATAAGATAAATGAACAGGAAAATTGTTTTGAGTATTGTTTAAATTTATCAAATAAAAAGTAATGTTTTTGTATACTTACTTTTTATAAATAAATAATTTGTTTCTGCACACTTATTTTTATTTCACATAATAAGAAAAGAGATTGCAAGAGAACTACCACGCCCAGAAAGTACAAATTTGAGTCAAACTTGTATTTTTAGTATAGCTTTTACTTATCTTATGGCCAGGTTATGGATTTTGTCACAAAATACCTATAATTAGACGTGACGTCACCGTCAGTCAGCTACATGCGCAGGAACATACCGTTATTCTATGTATCGTGGAATTGATAAAAAAATTAGATTTAGATGCTTCGGACTCTGAAATAGAGTATGAAAATGTAAAGAAACTGTTTCGGATGCAAAAGACAACCTAGAAGTAGAGAGCGAAGAAGATTCGGATCAAGAATATGAGCCTCAAGATATGATCCCAGATTTTGATCAAGATGCTAAACCTCAAACAACGGTACCATATATTCTTCAATATATTTGTCCATGAGCTTCGCCCTTGCGTGGATCTGTATTTTCTACGTTAATTGTGTTTTTTCGATAAATTGTTTTTCTACCACCATTATTTTTGTCCTAAGAATTTGCGCCTTGAACCGTAATAACTTCTCCATTAGTTGGTTTATGAATTAAAAATACGTTTGTATTAAGAATTTTTTGATGTTCACAATAGTAGTTGTATAATAAATATTTTTATCAGTCTTTACAGGTTTGTAATTGATTTTTGTAAATAACATGTAACTTAATTTCTTCCTTCCTTTTAGGCCTGAAGATGGCCTTAGTGCCGAAATCGGTTGAAATGTAATTTCATATTTTTTTCTTAAAATTTACCAGAATTCTTCAAAAACGGTTCACTCTATCGCGTTTACACAAGAATACTTTATTGTTGGAAAAACTATGTAAATTTGTTTTTCTTGAACAATTTATCCAAAAAGATAAAATTAAAATAATAATGGTAAGAATACCCAACTACCCCTCTAAAAATTATTTTTGCTTTTGTTCTACCATTAAATCAAATACTATAAAACTTTTAAGTTGTCCCAATAAATTTGAATTTAATAGTTTGCTCCGGTTTAAAATTAGGACCAAAAAACTGGTTTGTTCATTCCTCCTTCGAATGGTTTTATCTCCCTTATTTAAAAGTTTCGGACATTCATTTTTATAGCAAACTGACCTTAAATTTTCATTATTATATATAGCACCATCTAAAATATTTGTATTCCTTTTTGACTCATCTTGTATAGTATTATTATTTATTTAAACATTCGATCAACTAGTAGTTTGTATTTAAATGACATTTATAACGTTATATTTTTTTTATACTTACATCAACAAGGCCAAAAGAATATGAAGCAAATATCCTAAAAATTTTTCTGTGCATTTGTCTGTGGATAGAAACGGTCCAATCGAGTAGTCGTCGTTCAATCTTTGCACGCCATCGGGACAGCACAGCTGAGTCGCTAGGGCCATCGGAAAACATAATGACACTATAGCCCAAATTATTACCCAGACAACAACCGTTATGTCCATTTTAAGAACCTATAAAAATAATATGTTTGAACCTCGATAGCACTCAGTGACGGTTTAAGGGGCTGGTCGCCTTTTGCGTCCAAAAAATGGATGATATTTGGATGTTTTGTCTTTAATAATATTAAAAAAAATTGATTAAGTAACTTTTGTAACTTTATATTTTTGCACCAGAAATCCGCCAATTTTGCCCAACACAGTATATGCTAGTTAAAAATCAGTTAATACGCTATTTGGATTTATTTTGTGAAAATCTATTTATAGGTTTTATCTTATTGTTTGGCAATATTGCATACATGATCGGTATAGCCTCACTTGACATAAGAACATGTACCGTAGGTAACGTAAATATACGTTTTGGTTTCTATAAATTAAATTCTTAAACATTTATAAAATATTATAGTGTTTTTCATTACCAATTCTCATTTAAATTTCGTCTTGGATGATGTCTTAAACGATTGACATCTACTATTTTTATACTTGGCGTTTTTTAACGAATAAATTAAACGTTTTTTTTTATAGATACTAGTTGTTGTATATTATAATACGTTTATATATAATTTATATAATACGCATATGTCCAGTTTAAGATGAACTAGTAGTCAGAAGCTAATAATATGTATACATTAAGGTTTATTTAAATTAAATACTTATTGGTATATTTATTTATATTACATTTATATTTATACTATTATGACATGTTTTGTAATTCAAATTTTATCTTATATTAAGTTAGAAAATACGTTTAATCGAGTTTACGTTAAAGGGTCCACAGGGAATTCTAGTAGATTGGAACATTCCAATTAAATTTAGATCTTAAAAAGTTTGAGCCAGTTAAACTAAAAATTAACACAAATATTGTGGCATATCATTTTTTTACTTTATTGACAACATTTGAGAGGATAAAATAAGTTAGGGTGAGTTTTGAATTTTAAACCAATTTTGAGGTTGTAATCTTTATTATCGTTTAGAACTCTCCAATCAAATTACAGTGTTATCACTGTGGTAGTTTATCCACCCCACTATCTTACGATATCAAATTCCCTAAAAAGTTGTTTTATGCCCAAAATTTTGTTTAATACGTTCTAATATCCAATTCACATTAGAACTAAATTAAAACTGCTGTCATTTTCTAGTATAGAGAAATTGCGACTTGAGTACGGATTCCAGCAAATTTTAAGAAGGTGTTAAAACAGTGGATTAGCTCTAAAAGAACTAAAACTTTCAGTTCCATGTTTCTAACAATAAAACAAACGTTAAAAAATATTTCTCCAGTTACTCTTATTTAAAGACGAACCCGGTCCTGACTTGTGCCAGAGAATTACCAAAAGCCCTTGATATTGATAAAGTCTACCAAGTCTAGCAACTACTTTTGGCCTGTAATAAAACAACAATTTTTTGTTGTAAATTGACTAACCAAACGCAGAATTCTTAATTGGTGTTATCTTCAAAGATTACACAGTGTGTCTGATAAAGGTTGTATCTTAGAAACTATACTCCGGCTTCAAAAAAAAAAAAATAATAAATAAATAAATAAATAAATTAGTAACAAGAAAAAACCCTTTAAAGAACTTGAAATAAATAAAAAGAGAAAATAGAAAAAATATCCAGTAAAGGAAAACGACAATTTCCTTCTTTGAATTCAAATTTTGGGAACCTCTTTAAGATTATTGTTTTCTCTTTTTAGGTTTTTCGTCTTCCTATTAATTATTTTTAACATCTAGCAATTTATTTTGTAGTCCAATCAAATACCTTTAAATCAAAATTTGGAGGAAATACAAGAATTTTTAATATAAGTCACTTTAGAGTATTTGAAAACGATATGTAAAAAAATGTTGTTTTTCAGGCCGCGGCAAAAAATAAGAATATAAAGTTTTTTTTTAAGTTATTTAAAAACGGTAGGTGCCATAAAAAACTTCTTAACAAAAATTGTAAAGCATAAAGTTTTACATAAAAATGATAATTAGCATTTTTACTTTCCTATCTGTATATCTGTATATATATATATATATAGATTCGTCCTGCCGACGTTGTGACATCATGTCGCAAAAATGTTGCTATCTTTATAACATCCGTCTGCGATGTGACATCCAAATTCGGATGTCACAACGTTTTTGGGGTTCAAACATCATAAAGTAGGTTTAAAAGAGTGCCTAAAAAATTTCAGCTGGATGTCATAATGCTTAATTTTCAATTTTATGTATATATTTAGTTCCAGTGTATAGATGCAAAGGTGGCGCTCGCGTCAGTTGGTTTTGTATATTTTGTATATTAAATATTTCAGTCCCTCGACTGTATAACATCCACCATTAAGTATATTAGAATTTACTCACTCGACTGTCTGACATCCAACATTCAGTATATTAAAACTTACTCACCCGACTATCTGACATCCACCATAGAGTATATTAGAACTTTACACACTAGGTTATGTGACATCCAAAAAATGTATTTTAGATATATTTGGATTTTCATTTTAAGATCTATTTTATGTTAACACATTAACTGCCAAAAATTTTTGTTGGGTTTCGCATAGAGCCAACAAGTTTTTTAAATGCATTCACTCTCGGTGAATATTTAATAAATATATATTATATGCATCTATATTGATACAAGGTGTATCAACAATTGGTGAGTGAACGATGAATAATTTATAGTAAAAGAAATCACACGAAATTAAATTAAAATATATTAAAATAAAATAAATTTAAACAAATTAAAATAAATTAAAATAAATTAAAATAAATTAAAATAAATTAAAATAAATTAAAATAAATTAAAATAAATTAAAATAAATTAAAATAAATTAAAATAAATTAAAATAAATTAAAATAAATTAAAATAAATTAAAATAAATTAAAATAAATTAAAATAAATTAAAATAAATTAAAATAAATTAAAATAAATTAAAATAAATTAAAATAAATTAAAATAAATTAAAATAAATTAAAATAAATTAAAATAAATTAAAATAAATTAAAATAAATTAAAATAAATTAAAATAAATTAAAATAAATTAAAATAAATTAAAATAAATTAAAATAAATTAAAATAAATTAAAATAAATTAAAATAAATTAAAATAAATTAAAATAAATTAAAATAAATTAAAATAAATTAAAATAAATTAAAATAAATTAAAATAAATTAAAATAAATTAAAATAAATTAAAATAAATTAAAATAAATTAAAATAAATTAAAATAAATTAAAATAAATTAAAATAAATTAAAATAAATTAAAATAAATTAAAATAAATTAAAATAAATTAAAATAAATTAAAATAAATTAAAATAAATTAAAATAAATTAAAATAAATTAAAATAAATTAAAATAAATTAAAACAAATTAAAATAAATTAAAATAAATTAAAATAAATTAAAATAAATTAAAATAAATTAAAATAAATTAAAATAAATTAAAATAAATTAAAATAAATTAAAATAAATTAAAATAAATTAAAATAAATTAAAATAAATTAAAATAAATTAAAATAAATTAAAATAAATTAAAATAAATTGAAATAAATTAAAATAAATTAAAATAAATTAAAATAACATGTTGAGTACGGTGTGGCATTTAACGGATGCCTCACTGCTTGTCCTTTTTGAGACGGCGAGACATCAATATGGTGCTACACTTGCAAGAGTCAGAAAATTAGCAAGGATGGCGTGGTTTTATAATACGTCCCACTATAATGCTACAAACATAAGAACTCACTTTTAGCCATCTATAGTATTAAAAAAGTTTCACTGGCCTTGAGAGTAAGAGACAAATTCTGTGGAGAGGCATCAATGTATATCCAGAAAAAAAATGAAATATTTGACAAATACTTAAAAAAAAAAAATTGAAATATAAAATATAAAAAATAGACTTCATCCAAAGTAATATGAGGGTAAAAAAATTTCCCATCCTTTAACATGACTTTTTTTATTCACGTTCGTATTCAATTTAAATCAATTTAAATCAATTTAAATCAATTTAAATCAATTTAAATCAATTTAAATCAATTTAAATCAATTTAAATCAATTTAAATCAATTTAAATCAATTTAAATCAATTTAAATCAATTTAAATCAATTTAAATCAATTTAAATCAATTTAAATCAATTTAAATCAATTTAAATCAATTTAAATCAATTTAAATCAATTTAAATCAATTTAAATCAATTTAAATCAATTTAAATCAATTTAAATCAATTTAAATCAATTTAAATCAATTTAAATCAATTTAAATCAATTTAAATCAATTTAAATCAATTTAAATCAATTTAAATCAATTTAAATCAATTTAAATCAATTTAAATCAATTTAAATCAATTTAAATCAATTTAAATCAATTTAAATCAATTTAAATCAATTTAAATTAATTTAAATCAATTTAAATAAATTTAAATCAATTTAAATAAATTTAAATCAATTTAAATCAATTTAAATCAATTTAAATCAATTTAAATCAATTTAAATCAATTTAAATCAATTTAAATCAATTTAAATCAATTTAAATCAATTTAAATCAATTTAAATCAATTTAAATCAAAGTTAATAAAAAAAATTAAATAAATTATAACATAGATTAAAATAAATAATTAGCACTTCTTACGGTTCGACCTAACATAAAAAATATGATGAGCTAACTTATAAAAACGACAAATTTAGATTTCCTGACATCTTAACAGCCTAGTCCTCCACTTTAACTCCAATTTCGACTGCAAACGATCACCTTTCGTGCATCGTCGGTGCCTTGCTGTTTAGAGTTATAACCTTAATAGTATGTTCAAGTAGCGATAAATATTGATGTACGCGGATTTTATTTGTCTTTTTTATTTTAGAGTGAATTAATCTACGAAATTTTACTTCACTCTCTTTTTTAATACTTAGTTTTTTTACCTTATTTAATGATTCTTTCGTCATTTATAACCGAGATACAGGTAGTTTTATTAACTTTGCCAATTTCCTTTTTATTTCATAACTTACTAACCACCCTTACATGTTATTGAAATTTGGCACATGT